TTGTTCAACAACGTATATCTATGAATATATACATATTTAAAGATAGAACAATAGATAGATGAGATAGATATAGTTAAAAGATAGATAATAGATACATCATATAGTGGATGGAGTGCCAGGCTGGGAATCAGAAAGACTTGAATTTACAGATACTTACTAGGTATGTGACCCTGGGCAAGTCACTTATTCTTGTTTGCCTCAGTTTCCTTATCTATAAAATGTGTCTAATAATAGTACCTCCTTTTCAAGGTTGTTGTGAGGATCAAATAAGATAATTGTAAAGTGCTTAGCACAGTGCTTGCACATAGTAAGTGCTATATAAATATAAACTATCATTATTGCTATTAATGGATAGATGATAGATAAATAAATAGATAAACATATAGTGTTATAGGGTACAAAATGCCTGGAATAGTGGCAAGTACTTAATAAATACTGATTGATATACATTTAGTTAAAAAATTGAAACATTTCCCCACATATTTAAATAATCCTTTATTCATTCTTACAAAACTAAGATTCCTTATTCTTTCCATGTGGATAAAAATAGTTTCACACACCAGCTTGGTTTGTGGAATCTGGCATGAAGAACAAATAGCCTAGTATTCCTTCAGGCTGAGAATCACATGTTTTGGGGAGGCTAATGATAGCAACTGCTTTCAAAGACACAGGATCCACTCAGTCTTCTTCTAAGTGCTAGCAATTAAGTTTTTCATTACCACCCCCTCTGCCCTAGCCAATGCAAGGCTACTCAATGCTTCCTCCTGAGTACTGTCCCTCTTCAACAACAACAAAAAAGGTCCATAGTGGCCAGCGGCCATCAGAAAAGCACTTCATACTTTCAAAGCTCATCTTTAGATCTCTTGCTGTTGACCCCCTCACCTTGCTCTCCCAAGTTGTCCCTGAGCTCTCCATTATTAAATTCAAAAGATTCACATAGGCTTTTATGTTTTCCTAAACCAAATCATCTCCCAGTTCATCCCCCATAACACTGTCTACCTCTTGGTTTTTAATCCAACTAATTTGTTCTTGGTTCTGCTTCATTCTCCCACTCCTGCCTTTATGTCTTTTTTTTTTTTTTGTATACCACCCCTTATGCTTGGAATAGACTCTCACTTTCCCTTCTGCCAAACTATTCTACTCTGATCTTGAAATTCATTTAACCTAGGAAACCTTAAGGGGGCAGGAACTATATCTTAACTATTCATCTTTGCATTCCCATTAACTCAATGCATCAGCAAAATTGTTGCTTGATAAATGCGGAAGGAAAGAAGGAAAGAAGGAGTGGTAAGGAAAGAAAGAAGGAAGGAAGAAGTGAATAAGATGGGGGTTGGAATAATACTTTCTCCTTATGAGCTTCCATTAATATGAAAGCTTCCATTAACATAAAGTTACACTTCTGAGGAATTCACATAGAAATTAAACATACCTGTAAGCACTTAATGTGTGTAGAGTACCAGAAGAGGCATTGAAAGCTATACAGAAATTAAAAACTGTTTTCATGAATTTTATAATACAGTAGGTAATACAATACACATAATAACTGTTGTATAAAATAGAACATGAGAAATGTATGTATGTGCTACAAAGTATTGTTCAAAGTCTGAGGAGGAAATGATCTTTTTTTTTTTTCCTCACTAGGTGATAAGGTAAAACCTCAAGGAGGAAATGACTTTTTAGCAGGGCTTTGAAGGTCAGGCAAGGATATCAACAAATGTGGACAGGAGGGGGGGGAAATTGTAGGCATTCAAGAAAGAAGATATTAACAACACTTTCCTCATTTCTGTCTCTTAAAATTACTAGTTTTCTTCAAGCATTAACTCAAATGCCACCTCTTTTTTTTATTCCCTTAATTGCATTCACAAATCTTTTTACATATTACAGTAGGGTACAACATTAGCAAAGACACAGTAGTAGAAAAGCACAGAAAAAGTACAGGAAATAATCTGTAGTAAAATTTAGCTAGGGCATGAAGTACATGGTAGGAAGTAGAATGAGATTAGACTGGACAAGGTAGAATAACACCAGACTGCAGAAGGTCTCAAAAATTACCTATTTTATTTTAGGAGAGAAAAAGGCCCTAACACAGGGAAGAGAGATAGTAATCTCATATTTTGGGGAAACAGAATAAAAATGTAATCTCTCAGCCAATATCCAAATTTTATTCAAAAATCTTACTCATTTACTGCTATGTCCTATCCCACCTATTAGGGAGGAACAAAAATAGAAACACATAAAAAGACAAGTGAATTTAAACAATCAAAAGACATTGCTTCTGGAAGACAGATGTTTGCTTACGGTTTATGGATGCATCTCTATCAGCCAGATTTAGCTATATTTAGAAAGGATTATTTATTTAGTATGCTTTGACATGACTTAAAAGAGTTGGACAATTCATTTATCTATTTTCAAAATGTGGGAGAAAATAATGTGCTTTGGAAACTAGATGGACAGAAAGGAAAAAAATAGTGTAATAATTAAGAAGAATATAAATACATCATTTGATTTACTTTCCAAATCTCTGGTGGGATTAGGCTAGATATTTGTTGAAGGTTATCTCCAGTATGAACTACCTATATCAATTCTGTCATTCCAAGAATGATGAGTCACTAATATCCTTTCATGCACACAGAATTCCAACCAAATTTACCTACTTCCCCTTCCTTGAACTCAGTATTCTATGTTATACCTTTTACTTGGAAAGTATTCATCCATTCATTTAATAAAAATTTACCTATACTCTGGAGTTAACGAAAGGAGAAATGAATCAGTTTCTGTCCTAAGAGAGTTTATTTTTTATTGAGACAAAAGAACATGTGCACCAATAAGTAAATGCAAAGTATTTCAAGAAGGAAGATATTAGTAAAGTTCTCCTCACTTTTATCTCTTACAATCACTACTTTGCTACAAGAATCATCTCAAATGTTACTTCCTTTTCTGATTTCTGTAATAGTTAGTGTTCTTTATTTCCTCCTTTAATGATCATGCAGATACATATCTTTTTACATATAGCAGTAGAATGCAAGCTCTTTGAGGGTAAGGACTATTTTGGTTTTGCCTTTATATCCCCAGGCCCCTTGCCCATAGTAGACATTTAATAGATGCATGGATTAGATTGGAATATTTATCACGAATGCAAAACTCACTAAAAGGGCTTAAGGGAGATATGATAGCTATCAAAGTATTGGAAGAGTTATCATGTGTCAAAGAAGGATTAAACTTTTTCTGCTTTGTTACAGAAGACAAAACTAGTAACAATGGCTGAGAGGTGAAAAGAAGAAAAATCAGGCTTGAGGTAAAGTAAAACTTTCCAACAATTAGAGATTTTCAAAAATGGAATGGATTCTTTGTTCACTGGAGGACATTTAGCAAAACAGAATGATCCTTTGCATGGCATATGGTAGAAGGCATTCCTGTTCCAGTATGTGTTGGCCTGAATGGTCTCTGAGGTCCCTTCTAATTCTGAGATATACTGATTCTGATTTTGAAAAAATGGAAGCTCACCCTTAAATCTCGTTAAAATATTAGAGCAGTGCCTTAGCCAAGGCTTGGAATTCTAGCAGTTAAGATTTCTCATGAGTAATCATATCTACATTATGTCTGCCCTCTCCCAACTCATCTGTCTCTCCTGAAATAATCTTGTCTGTATTGTGTATAAGGACATATTTAAGACTGCTCATACATATAAAATTAAAGATTTGGATGGAATATATTTTAGAATCCCCAAATATATTGAAGTTTAGCTTCTTTTTATATATCATCCCTCTTCTCCCTCTCCCTCCCTCCCTCCTTTCTTCCCTTTTCCTTCATCCTTTCTTTCTTTTTCTTTCTTTCCATCTTTCTTTTCCATCTTTCTTTTCCATCTTTCTTTTCCATCTTTCTTTTTCATCTTTCTTTCTTTCTTTCTTTCTTTCTTTCTTTCTTTCTTTCTTTCTTTCTTTCTTTCTTTCTTTCTTTCTTTCTTTCTTTCTTTCTTTC